TTTATTTGCAAACACATGAATCCATAGTAATATTTCTGTCCATTATAAGGCCTCATATATTTCCATATTCCATACAGCTGTTATATCAGTGGCCTATATGTTACTGCACCTTCCACTTCACATCCTCTGCATGTCCTGCTGCAGGGTATCCCACAGTTACCATGTTGACAAGACATGCAAACATCTGGACGATGATGTCACACACAGACTCTTCCAAGAGAGGGGGGGGGGGGGGGGGGGGGGGGGGGGGGGGGGGGAACTGACCACGGAAGCAGCTAAAAGTTCTCGGGAAGCTTTTGTGTATACTCTTCTTTTCCTGTCTCCAAATGCATAATAATAGCTCGTGTGCACCATCTCTAGAATGACATCTGTATAGGGTCAGTGCATCCAGCCAATTAGGCAGCTGATGGGATGAAATGTTTTAGAGAAAATAGCCCGCTGCCACAAGTTGCCATCCCAGACATCGGGTCACGGGATTCCACTCGTATCGGCAGTGACCTCGTTGTACACCCAGCTGCAGCACTCTGCTCGTTCCCACTGGCTCGTCTCTCTGGGGGAATGTTTTTTTTTATTTCAAAGAATCACAAAAACATACTTTCCATTTCCATTTTTGTTGTCTATTCTCCAGGCAGTGAGTGTGGCTGTGAACTCGCTAATGACGACAGACACAAAGTGGAAAACTGGGTGGGAAAAAAAAGAGAATGAGGACACATATTCATCTTCATCCTCATATTTTCAATTCCCAAGAAGCCCTGAATACAGATGGTTCAGTTCAGATTGAATAAATGATTGTGTTATCAAGGTCAACTGGGTTTTTAAAATCAGTGGCTAATTGGAACAAACACTGAGCTCCTAATGCATTAATGTAATTTAAAGCCTCACAGACTCAGATGCTCTCTCTCATCACGGGCTGAAGTTCAGCTGTCACTGGATGAGCTGCCAAAGTGACAAACAGGATGACACGGCTGACATGAGCTGAAGTGACATCTCCTTGGTCTCCGGTGTTGTTCCTGCTAGTGACACAGCATCAGCTTGTGTGTCTATAATTCTCCTGATAGGACCACAGAGACCCCCCCCCCCCCCCCCCGCTCCCCACCAAGCTACATCAAACTCACATCTCATACTGAACACAAGAATAGGACAATAACTCAAATGTTTCAAAAGTAGGAAGCCTTTTATTTATTTCCTGGTGGGGTTTTTTTTTCTGCTGTGGAACCAAAACAAAAGATGCTGAGACTCAATTCAATATGTGTTTTTGATTTATTTTTTTGTAGGAAAATAGGTCTTTTCACATGCAAATCAAATGTATTCATCAAAGAATATGAAAAAAATTTTGCCAGGGGACACCAGAATGGCACTGAAAGAAATGTACATTTTACAAAAAGGCATAGAAAAACAAACAAACACACAAATGCATTTATGAATCAGAGTTTGTACTGGTAATACCACTGGTTTCATTGTCACGTCCCACATGGGTGACTATATAAGAAACATGTAGGGAAACAACACAGCCTCGGAACAGTCTTTCCTCTGAACGTTTTTACGTAGACAGACAGATGCTGAGGGTGACGTTGTGGTATCCCTGATGAACAGACCCACAAAAGATTTCATCCGACACAACCAGTTTTAATTCTCCGACTGTGTTAATATACAGCACAGAGATAAATCCCAAAGGAATAATTGTCTATCCCACTATTGTTCCAACATTGTGAAGCGCTGATTTCACCAGTCCTGATGTACCTGTGAATGGTGGCATCACACCTGCATTGTTTTCCCCAACTTAAGGTGTGGTCGGCGCTCAAATGCATATTGTCTCTGTCAAGTGAAACATCACAAATTTAATTGATTTTATCATGCATATCTGTTTCCATTCCAAAAAATTAAATTCCAGTACACCACTGTTTTTCTTTGCTGAAAATCCATAAAGAATTAAATGCATAGGCATTCTCACAAATACAAAGAATTTGCCTCTATTATTATTATCTTATAAAAGCACTGTCACAAAGGTCAAAGCTTACACTTAATGTAAGACTATCAGAAAACCAGATATTTTTTCTCTTTGGTTTGTCCTGTGTTTCTTTTAAAAGCCCTGGTGATATTTCAGTGACACATGCTTGTCACAGGACAGCGACAAAAATGCAGAGGACAATAGACCCAAATAAAATTAGGGGAGACTGGGGACAATTGCAACAAATCTTACTCTAATCAAAAACATGCTGGAGTGCTGACACTCACACTGCACATGCTCAGTTAGACCCTCCTCCCACCAGGAAGACAGAAAACACTTTCAACATCCGCTGCTGCATTTATTGAAAAAAACTGTCAAACTGTCCTGACCTTGAATTAATCAAACTTACTTAGTTTGAATCATTGTTTCATTGACTCCTACGTGACATAGTTAGCATGTGTTGCGGTCAGTGTGTCTAGCTAGCACACAATGTTCTGTCATGGTGTGGATGGTTGCAACAAGTTATTACAACTGTCCCCAAGCTAAGCAGCCAGATCAAAACAGACCACACAACAGTGTGTTTCAACATTTTTAGTTCAAAAGAGAAAAAAATATGCAGCTAATTTTAAAGCATCAGAGAATATAAACCAGTTGTTTTGTTAGCCTCTCGTGGTCTTATAATATATTTGCCTGTTCTGTTTATCATAAGCAATAGGATAAATTGTGCCTATTGTCACTCAAGGTAGGTTTTATGTTCTACATAAAACAAAACTCAATAACTGTTCTTTGATAAATATTACTGAATAAATAATAATACTATATTATTGTACAATGCAAAAACAATGCATATTTCAGAATACTGTGCTTATTGAGACAAAAATCATGTTAATTTGTGAAATTGAATGTATTTTTCAATATGTTGCAACCGTCCCCAGGGTTGGGGTCAGTTGTAACATCTGAATTTTTCCATTTAAATAAATATTGTGGATGATGTGTCATATGTAATCATCTTTAAGTGGTTTGACTAATTAGCAGATAGATGTAAGTTCCATAGCCTATATAAAAGTTTGGTTGGTCTAGTTCAAACTGTCTCTGAGTAACTGAGTGCTGCAACCGTCCCCAATCTCCCCTAGTAATAAAAGCCATTTTCTGTCCAGTGAGCACACTTTCTTTTCTAACTTATTCCCTGTCCCTTTCAGTCATTCAATAGAGAAAAGAGAACAGGGTGAGACAAACACATAATTGTGCCACAGGGTAATTCTTTTGACCTGGATAGCTGCCTGAATTCCTTACTTTCCCTCTAAAAAAAAAACACACAAAAAAAACATGTCTGAGCCACATAACCTAGAATAGCTGTGGAGATGTAAGGCCAAGCTGCCAGTCATGCAGACTTTAAACAGATGGGGTCTTTGAGTACCCCCATGGCACCTTCTCAAAACACCCTTTCTTCACCCGCTCTGAAGTGCTCCCTCCTTTGACAGGAAGTCGCCCTCTAGTGGCTCCAGCTGGCACCAACTACAAAACATCACCAGCTGCTTGATAACCATTTACTCTACAGTTTGTTGCCTTCCCTTCAAACAGACTAGACTAAACATACTTTAGTCGCGAAACTTTGATGACTGGGGAAGAATTTAATGAGGGTTGACTGGCCTCCAGGGGATGAAACTCTGACTCTGACTGGGAGACTATTAGTAAATCACCAGTGGCTTATCGGGATCCTGGTGGCATCAGAGGAGCCAGTGTCAATCACTTCTCTGGGGAGTGGCTGGATGAAGTACTTCTGGTGATTTATGTCTGCCTGCTGCTGCCTGGACTTGTTGAACAGACATGTGGTGCCTGATGGTGCTCAAACCAGTCAGAGAAAGTCAAAGTACACCATGTTTTCATGTGAAGGAAGCCTCACAGCCTCACGTGGTTTGTTGAGCTAGTTCACTATTCAGGCAAAGATGCTGATCTTCCACATATGGTTTGATAAACCAAAGACAGAAAGTGCCAGCTTTCCAGACTTTCTCTCCCCCTCCCAATTCACCATCATGAAATGAGGAAGAAATCTCAGCTTGTTTGGAGAGCTACGTGGGGCAATGCTGGGGATGAGTTTGAATAGTTTGTCCCATCTTGTTCTTCTTTGTCTCCACACACACACATACAGCTGTTCAGCCGATCTCAGAGCAATGTTGGAAAAGGAATAACACTGTTGCTACGTACATTAAATACTGATACTGTAACATACAAGGAAAAGTCTGGCTTTTTTTTTCTTGACGTCATTAAGTCACCGTAGCCGACATTTTATAAAAATATACTATGTCATATTTCACATTTTTTTTTACAATTAGAAGGCAATTTAAAACACAATAACCATAAATATTCATACAAGTAATTAATTTTTTTTTTTTTTTTTTTTTAAAGAACTTGTTGTCTTGTCTTTATTTTACAAAAAAATGTACTTGAAAAAAAGAGTTTTCATATAAAACACAGGCTTGAACATAAAAATTGACTCAATTTTGGAGCTTGTTCTTTTAAATCCCATTCTAAAAGGCAATACACATAACTGTAATACATAAAAAAAAAAACAACAAAAAAAAAACGTGACTTTTACAAAAGGGTTGGTCTCACATAGGCATATTTCCACAATTGGAGTAGCATGGCCACAGTATTCCAAAGCTACAAACAACCAGGCTTCACAGCGGCCTGGCATTAAAATCTTGGCACTGACACTTGCATTACACAAACAGTGTTTGGTCTCACTATACTATAGTAATGGCTTTTATACCTTTTCCATTACAAGGTGGTGATGTTGCAGCCTTGCGCATCAAACACTGAACCCGTGGCGCTGGGAAGACTTGACTAACACAAGGCTTTAGGAAAGGAACACCACAGCTGGTTAAAGTGTTGCTGGATCGGTAGCGTTGGCAACTGGTATCTACTCCCCCCAAGTAGAAGAAGCCACCAGGGGGCAGTCAACTACAAGGCAGGTGGAGCGACAGTGAAGTAGTGAGCAGCCTTGTTCGAGAGCCATGAAGAGCCAGAGAGAGAGAGAGAAACTGAGAAGCTGAAGAGTTAAGGTATAAAAACTGGATTACTTATGCACCTTGTTAAAAAACAAACAAACAAACAAAAAATTTCTTTCAGGAAATTTTGTTTAAAAAGCCACCTGCTGTACTCAGCGGCTCCTGAGCAGCAGCTAGTGTAGCACTGTTATCAAAACACACACACACACACACACACACACACACACACACATACACAGGAAACATATAGAAACACTCAAAGTCACAGCAACGAAACACTGTGATCGACGCCGGGGAGAGAGAGAGAGAGAGAGCAGACACTGAACATGATTGACAGGACACAGCCTTCAGGAAGGTGACGCTGTCACTGCGTTATGAAGTCACTGCTTTAGGCGCTGCCACTCAATTATGCCTCATTTTATTGCATTATTCACGTTGTAATGAAGTTTCTTTACGTCATAACAAGTCATTTCTATGGTGATGGCATGGCATCCCTTTCATTTTGATGTCATAGTATTTACATGTCCCAAGAGTTAGGATGCCTATGTATTAATGGAGTCGTGTCTTTGCAGAGCAGCGGCCAGAAAATGAGCTACAGGTCAAATCTGGGATCAATCTGATTTGCAAGAGACCTCAGTATCATTCAGTAATTTTCCAAAGCTCAAATCCCTAAGAAAGGATGAACGGCAAGACAACAGAGGTCAATAATCTGCTTTAGGACTTGAGGAGAATGAGACATGTAAACGACAGACTGTAGCCTAATAGAGTTTGTGTTGGTGTGATGTTTCAAGTTAGACAGTGATAGCCCAGACAAAACAAACTGTCAGCTGCAACATCACGGTTTTTTTTTTTGTTTGTTTTTTTTTTTACACACCTTAGTAGACAAACACACATCTTCTCCAGCTTGCAGGATTCTGTAAGGCACAGCGGTGTTTAAATATCCAAGAAAGATTGCAACAGCTCCTCATCCAATCTCTAATATACTGTATGTACAGGGTTTCAATACATGTCTCTGTCTGTGGGGTTAAATCCATACAGAGGGCTTTCCCTCTCCTGATTTGCTGCTGCTGCTGTTGCTGCTGCTGCCTCCTCCGCTGCTGCCTCCCTTCCCGTGCTTGAACTTATGCTTGCGCTCTTTCTGAGGCTGCGACTGTGGCTGAGGTTGGGCCTGGATGATGTTGCTTTGGGGCTTGTCGTCCTGATTGTCCCCAAGCTGCTCCTCTGCCCGGTGCTGCTGACTGTAGGCCTGGATGGCCGCCTCCAGCTGCTCATGAGCTTGCTGGATCATGTCTTTGTTGAGAGCCACGCGGGCCTCCCCTCCAGTGGGAAAGTTATCCTCATTGCTACCAAATTGCTGCTGCTCCTCTTGCGCGATATTTGCCCGGTTCTGCTTGCACGCCATTTTAGCATTGCTGAGGTCCGTGTAGGGCATCTGCTCAGGTTTGACCACAATGTTGTAGCCAGGTGGAGCTGATGGAGTGTTCCACGAGAACGGGTAACCCACGTAATCAGCAGCTCCGTCTCCACCCACCCCTCCCTCAGAACCTGCTTCAGGCCCTGCCACCCCTACTGAGCCCTCGACACCCCCGTTGGCACCCAGCAAACCCAACTGGTACTCGTCCTCCTGAGGCGGGCAGCGGCGACGGCGAAGAATGTCACAGATGGAACCGATCCCCAAGTGGAGCATCTCCCAAACATTGAGTGTGAGGCAGAGGACAGTGACACCATACATGATGCGCAGGAAGATGGTCTTCTCTGTAGGCCGTGACACAAAGCAGTCAACGCTGTGAGGACAAGGCTTTCCCGAGCACACAAAGACGGGCGTCACACGGAACCCGTACAGCAAGTACTGGCCAGCAAGGAAGCCCGCTTCTAGCACCGTGCGAGACACCAGCTGCAAAACGTAGACCCGCATCAACCCCTCATCTCGAATGCGTTTGCGCCCATCATGCCGGACTTTGGGTCTGGGTGTGGGTTGCAGTGGGTCCCGTGGCCTTTTTGGGGGCTCCATCTCTGGCACCTCGTAGATCATGGGATCATCCTCCTGGTCCTCCTCGGTCTCTTCGATGCCGCGGTGCTGCCGAGCTCCAAAGCACATTTTCCTGGGCTTCCTGTGCGTGTAGCCCCCTCCTCCTGTTCTGACCGCAGCAGATCCACATCCTCCTTTTGATTCATCCAACCGTGCAATCTTGTTGACAGCATAGCCCATATACATGAGAGAAGGCATCGCCACCAAGATGATCTGAAAGACCCAGAAGCGAACGTGAGACAGAGGGGCGAAGGCATCGTAGCAGACGTTCTCGCAGCCTGGCTGGCCCGAGTTGCAGACAAACTTGCTCTGTTCGTCGTAGTAGATGGATTCTCCGCCAACTGCAGTGAGAACAATGCGGAAGACGATGAGCACGGTGAGCCACAGCTTCCCCACGAAGGTGGAGTGGTTGTGGATCTCCTCCAGCAGCCGCGTGAGGAAGCTCCAGCTCATGGTGTCGCTGGACAGTGGGGCAGACAGTGTCCCTCTCTCACCTGTTCACAGACTCTGGAGAAAGAGGAGGAGAGAAAAGGGGGGAAAAAAAGGATGAGTTCACCATAAATACTTTCAAAATGTGATCAAAGCATGTAGTAAGCTTTGTCTGAAATTTTCAAGTAAGACTTTTATCCCTGTGGAAACAGCATTAGTTCTGCAAGTTCAGTGGCAAAATGTGAAAGGGGTTGACATAACAATTGCCTTAATTAAAATGAGTGTTCCTCTGTGAGCTCAGGCATCATTATATCCTTAATTTGATCTGTTGCTTGGAGGAGCACACACACACACACACACACACACACACATAGATATACATATTGGGAGCTCAATGCCACAGTGAGGCTGCTGTCAAGTTCAGGCTTTTTAGGGAATTAGAAGACCAAACAGGGTGGAAAGAGGATATCGGTATTAAGAAAAATACCATCAAGCAGCACTGAGAAGGAGGCGAAATAATCCAAATAGGGAATTTGCTATCGCCAAATACACACACACTTTATTTAACAGCCTATCTCTTTTTGAAGAAATAAATCCTCTTAGTGAGCCTTCCTCTGTGTGAGGTGCAGTTTTCAGGATTGTATTAACTTGACTGGTTTGTTCTGGTTGGGAGGTAAATGGCATTGTGCTGTGGTGTGTCATGCTTATGTGCGTGTGTGTGTGTGTGTGTGTGTGTGTGTGTGTGTGTGTGTGTGTGTGTGTGTGTGAGCACAATTTAGGAAGAAAGACATGTTGTCTATGTAGGTTAGGTCTGGGCTTCAGGCAGTCCATTCAAACCAGCAGAATCAGCAGGTGGCCCGGGCACAAACCGTTGGAGCGGGTAGTCAGACAGCAGACCCACATTAGCTCAGGCAGTGGAGCTGAACCCAAACCCTGCTGTCCCTCAGGGCGGCTTTGGGGGATGAGTATGACAACTCCACAGAACTTTTCCTCCCTTATGAAGCCGCAATAGCGCATGGCTTATTGTCAGCCAGACTGAGAGGAAAATCCAACCATGAATACTAGCTTAGGTTGGGGTTTAAAGGGCTTCCAGGGACGATATCCTTACCAAGCAGGTTGAGAGCTTATACTGTGAGTGAGCTGGAGCTGCAGCTGCAGCGAGAGGGAAAATTTCGCTGGAGGAGACGAGCAGCAGCTCCCAGTCCTCTGCTTTGTGTCTCCAGTGGGAGCGGAGAGGGGCGGGATGTTTTGAAGAAGCCTTGTGATGAAACATGTGCTGAGTATCGATCACTCTGACCATAAAAGGACATGCTTGGGACACAGGAGGTAGATGTCAGGAATCCTTTGAGTGTATGTGCATACTCCGGTACGCACCATCACTCTGAGTGCACAGCTGCCTGAACTGTGCACGATCCTGCAATCAGAGTAAGAAGTGAGGAGTTTGTGAGCGGGCGAACTGTGAGCGTCTGTGACCGACATGGCGTGTGAGTAAGCAGCACATGGTCGCAGAGGAGTGAGAGGCTGCCACAAGCGCGCAGAGTCATCGCAGTGTCCTTCCACGGTCCAGCTCTGTCTGACTTTTCCCACATTACATCATTGTGTTTCTTTACATAACTCTACTATACTCTACTGTGCTGCACGGACGGACAGTCGGCTGCAAAGGTTAAACAGCTTGGTGTAATATAATGGTGAGGCTGTTTAACGTTGTGCTGCAACAGATGTATTATTATTACTGTATCCTCTGTTTTTTCTATCTTGTCTTTTCATGTTGTACTTCTTATTATAATTATATTTTTTTTGGGTAACTTATGGTACTTAATTGAATAGTTGTGATGTAGAGGATTTAATGTGTGTTTTGTAATGTGCTTATGTTAGATCACATGTTCCTGTGCTGATCTGTTTAATTGTTTAATTATGCAGATTACATCCACCTGTGTAATAAGTGTGTTGTAGATGTGTATATACTGTGTGTGTACACTTCGCGCTCTGCTACATTTCACTCTTGTGAAACAGTGATTTTTGAGTTTTGGTTTCCAGCATCTGTGAAAATTGTTTTGAAAGTGTTCAATATTTGCTTTGGCCGTGTTTAAATTAAGAGCAAAATTCCTTTCTTATCTCCTTTCTTAAGCCACATAAAGTGTTGTAGTGTTTGGATTAGTGTTGTGGCTTTTACATTGAGTTGACCCGTCTGGGCCACCGTATAAACCCCTTAACATACAGTTTCTGTGTGTTCTGTATGTTTGCTTTCACACAAGTATTACATATTACACTGAGTAAAATATCAAAACACAAATTTTCAAATTTTTTAAAAATATCTCCGCACATTTTCCCAAAGTTCTGAATGACATATTTAGGTATTTTTGGAAACTTTCCACTAGAATTTAAAATGAAATTCTGTGGCTTTGTAGAATGTTTTGCTGCACAACAAGACATTGTAATGACTGACACACTGGTGGGAAGCTTAGGCAATACCTGCTAATATCTTTAAAAGAGTCATATTTCAATCTACTACATGCACACGGGGACTGTGTTTAATACATCCGTGGAGCCGGAGACTCACAGGACACAGAGGAACTTCAGCGTGTGCTTCGATGAACTATACTTGTACTTCGTCCCTTTAGTTCCCCGGTAGTCTGTCACACTCCCTCCTGACCAGGAGAGACGCTCCAGCCCAGGCACACAGCTGCCTGGGCTTAATACTCCTGCTACCTCAGCCACACATAACCTGGCATTTTGCTTTCTCATCCAATTTATGTCTGCGGGAGCTAGTGGGGCAGTTAGGGGTAAGAAGCTGACTCTGTGCATTAAGTTAGCAGGGTGAGTCAGCGTCCCGAATAGCAGCGCGCAGACAGAGCAGGCAGGTTTTCTCTCTGTTACTTTGATATAAAGAATGAACAGCTAATTGGTGGAAATCATGTCACATATGAAAACATGAAAAAACAAAGACCAGTCGCTGGTCCCAAAGTCAGAAAAAGAAACAATGACGAAGAAAATCCCCTCCAGTGTAGTCTCACGGGGATTTTATATAATAGGAGACCGCTAATGAGCTTTGAAAGGGAATCACATTTAGGATCAATGGCTCTATAACCATCAGCCCTAAAGGTCGTGACTGTGGAATGATGGGTCATCAAAGCATCACTTTCTTCAGAGCCTGTGACATAGCTCATAGCCCTACCAGCAGAGTACAAGGTCAAAGGTCAACAAGATCAGTTCCTAAGGGGTGAACTCTCCACATATCACTACCTCGTGCTCTGAGTCAAATAGACAGTTACCATTACGCTTAGCGTCACTGGAAGGATCCCCTCAGTCACTGGCTTCCATCCCTCGGGATCCACAGAGACTCACATCCAGATATAGTAAACCCCCCCAAAACAACACACACACACACACACACACACACACACACACACACACACACCATGCAACAGCCTCGAGAAGCATGTGGTGTAAAGCCACAATGTCCCTTAACACAAAAGTGGCCTGACTATGAGAAACACTGAAGTGAGGTTGGCTGAGGTGCTCCTTATTCACCGCAGTGACTCATGGTGTGAACACGGCACTGCAGCTGCAGGGCCACGGGCTCAGGAGGGACACCAGGGGAATGAGCCCACCATGGGACAAACCCCTCGACCTGTGCACGGGACAACTGCAGGTGGACGGAGGTTGTAACTGTATGTACTGTGTCATCTAGGGGAGTTCTGCACAGCAACAGGTGAAGGTGCATTGCAGGCGACAGGTCATGGATTCTGTATTTGAACTTAAACACTGTCAGCTCCCTTTGACTTGACAGATATTAACCTGGGTGTATTTAAACAGTTAATACAGAGGCAGCCTTCGAGATGGGGATGTCAGGATAAACATATATCTTTGAACTGTTAACACATGTAGATGTATATATAAAGTTATGAATGTTTTCTTTTGGTTTTGCGTATGTGTAAACAGTAGATCTTGTCTTGTTGTTATATTTTTGATGTTTAGTAGCATCTCATAATCCCACGTGGGCACGCAGGGAAATAAAAACCAACTGAGAAAATAACTAATATTCCATTCAAAACACACTTTTCTGGCATCTTTTTAATATTTTGTATTAATGTGAGCTGCTTCATTGATGTTTTTTGATGCGGATGTATGTGGTTACAGTTAGTGGTCTCAAGTAAAAATAAGAGTTATTAAAAAAATATGAACAAAGTGTATATAAGTATATGCAAAATATATATTAAAATGCAAAACTGTCTTCTGGTCCATCATGCAGCTGAACTCTGCAATTATTCAGTGTATAAAAATGTACTTATCTTGGTTGTAACACAAACTATACAATACAGTTATGTAAACCCATGAGTGCAGATGTACAGGGCAATGCAAATAGGACAACGTGCTGGACAATACACAGGATGCACAGAGGTCAAAGGTCAGAGGTCACATCCCGATGGCCCAAGAGGAAACACTTTTTCTGACTCTCTCTTATTGAACTGTTAATAAACAGTTAATGAAATGCACTGTGAAAAAAGGGGAGTTTTAAAATGATTTCCTCAGTCCTCCCTCTCTGTCTCTAAACTGTTTGTCTACATATTCACGCTCTGATACGGTATATGCAGATCCTTGTATAAACACACATACCCACACAGGCACATTCATATTAATCAACGCAGGCCAGCGGCAGTAATAATGAATGTACTGTAAATGGTAGAAATAAAGCTCTAATGAGTTTATGTAAGGCTAACAGATTTATTAGCCTCTGGATAAACTTTAATCAAGTGAAGCATACAAACGTACACTTATAGACAAATGAAACATGTTTAACTGCTACGTGAAACTATTATTGGACATTATATCAACTAATGTATTGTGTGGCCCCTGTAAAGATCCATCTATTGGCTCATTCAAAGACAAACATCCGTACAGATGCTGCAGCCGCTGCCCATCGGGACTTTTTTTCCCCTTGTGAAGTATGAACGTCAGTCCAGGCTTTAAACATTTCTTCAGTCTCATGCTAATTATCAGTTAGATCTCTTATAGTGTCTTTAAAGAGATTGTAAAAGATCCAATAAAAGAAACGATCAGCTCTTTCTTCAGCCTGGATGAATTTGGCTCCCGATGCTGCTGATCTGCTGTTGGACCGCTGCCTCTAAAACACTCTTCATTTTTCGACTGTTACACTTTTATGTGATCTTGATTACTTTCAGTGGTTTGTCTGAAAGTTTTAATGACCGGCACGCTTCAGCTTTCCCTGCCGTCTCTCTCCATCATCATAATGACAGACCCCCCCCTTCACATGAATGTTATATTACGCCCTTTAGCTCTCAATCATAAAAATCCAGTCCTGTGCAATAAACTGATTCTCGTGTCATTATACATGTTCTTGTTATATTTGCTGCAGATTCATGAATTTTAGAAAATAAAATATTATGAACTCGGTGTAACTGATATAACCAGGTTTATTGCAGGTGAGCAACATATGCTGCAGAGTGATTTTTACCTATGTAACTCTACCCCAGCGTACAATTTTCTTTTACTGTTACCAGGGATGAAAGTGTGTGGTTGATGAAAATAAAGGGCCATGATTTGTTTGGTCTGTTAATAGTCTTATGTGCAATAGCAGCTAATGGTCCTATAATATAATATTAGGTACTATATTAGGTATATTAGGTATTTACTATTTTTCTTCAGTGCTGCTACAAGTTCCCATCGTCTAACACTTGACACAAAGATATTGTCTGCTATCACTCAATGTAGCACCAATGCTGATTGACAGAATAACATTATCACTGAGCCAAACACAAATACTTAGTCTGCAAAGGTGATAATATGATAAATATGAGCTTTTCTTTTCTATTCTTTGGAACACCGGTGAGATTTAGGATTTCACTCAATAAAAAATACTGAAGTAAGAACAGAGACACAGTTAAACCAGATAGAGCTGGGATACCAAATAAACTTCACACTTGTTAATTCAAACCCTCTGCATTCATGGAGAAAAGGAGTTAGTGCTAAAACTTAAATTATACAGCAGTCTTCACTGCCAAAGCAGGATTTTAAGCAAGGCAAAGCCAGAGAGAGAACAAAAGTAGTCAACAGAGAGAAAGGTTAATTACGCTGCTAGCTTCAAAAATGTGGTTCTATCTGTGAAGGAGTCACATTTTTACATTTTATATTAAAAAAAAATCCTCAATGAAAATTTAATCGGAGCAGATCCAGACCAAAGCCAGCCTCGCCGCTGATAACAAAGGGCTGCAGTGTGTGTGGAGATTTAATTTTCTGGCTTTGTAAAGCGTAATCATATTAAAAAAAAAAAAAGAAACACTTTTATTTCAAAAATGGACAATGTAGAGAATAATTGAGATGGAAACTCAGGCACAATGAGGTCTATTGTGTGAGTGCCACTATTCAATAGCCTGTGAGATTCTTTTAAACTATTGTCATCTAAAAATAAATGAATAAATGTTGATATCAGGGTAACTCCAGAGCCAATGAGTGCTACCTGGGTCATTTTGCTGTCTATTTTGTTGTTTCATTGAAGTTAATTTCATAAAAGAGGCTGTCACCAGCAGCGCTAATGCGTTCTTTAAACAAAAAACAAAAAAACGCCACAATGAAAGCATCAGAGATCTATGAGAGTAATGGCTGGGACCTCTGAGCAGGTTCTGTTAAAGCCGATGTTCCTCTCACTGTCCTTGTTTGAGGTTCGTTGCCACAGTGCCCCCTCCCTCTGTTCAGACAGCGGCATCCTCAGGCTTCACAGATGCCCTCCCGAGCCTCCACCTTGTCCCACACAGGCTGCACAGATCAAACTAATCTGCTCACACAGTAGCTGGCCACACATCTGTCCATGATAACCCTCCCTCTGGATCGTTATATGTGGGTTAAATCGTGGCTGCTTTGGTGCTAAGAGACCACACATAAAAACCTGCAAATTTATGTCAGTAAAAAAGGTCACAGCCTTTGCTTGTGAATTCACAATATGAGTAGAGATAAATACTATAACAGCGCTGTGGAGGACAGACCGCAGGCAAAAATGCTCGGCTTAAAAAGCACAGGGGGGTTCTTATGTTGTGGATCCCCTTCTCCTGCAATGAAGGGCTGGATAAGCTCCTTTGTTAGGTACTCAGAGATATTCAAATCACCGCAAAAAAAAAAAAGAATACACCATAGCTAAAAATGGATTTTGTATCAACATTTTCTGGTGGTCTGCTTTTTTTTCTGAGCAGCAAATTTGCCTCTGACGTGATTAAAAACATGCACTCCCCAGAGTGACTTTGCATTAAGCTGAGTTCACCCACAGAAGGTTATCACAGTTGTTAATCATATTCATTTCATAGGCTAATCTCTACCAGATTGCGTGGTGCATGTATTTACACAGACAGACACAAACACACACACACACACACACACACACACACACACACACACACACACACACACACACACACACACACACACACACAAACACAGACATGAAACTTACTTGCAGAGTGATCAATGCATGCGGCCATGAAACACAAATAAACTGCAAATTCCAAAGGGTTGAGCAGATAGAGGACCCCAGCGTTGGGCCTCTGGCTGATAAAACAAGTAGCAGAAGACATAAAGACATTCACATCAGAGGACCTTTTACTGGTGAAGGATGAATACGGAAAACTGCTGAACATTTTGGTCAAACGTGAGAGACTCTTGAGATGAGGAAGTCTTTGCTGAGATGGATGAATGAATGAGCTATTCTTCTTCATTTTGCAGAAGGGAGGCGAGTTGTGGAGGAGCGATTCTCCCTCCGAGTTCGTGGGAAACTAAAAGTTCCCTCATTAACAGTGTCCGAAGGGAAGAAACGTAACAGTAAACCGGTTCCATATGTTACAGGAAGAATCTCTGAGGCAGGAACAGCCTCTCTGTGTGCATCTGTGCCTTTTGTTCAGTTTCACCGTGAGTAAAGTGTTAGAACTATGACTTCTTCTAAAAGACGAGTTCAGGAACAGACCTGGTAAATATCTGGTTTCCTCCTTTTTCATCACATTTAAATGAGAAGATACAAAAATACAAGCACAAACAGACAAGACACAAGCTGCAAAGTAAAGTGATGAAGCAGCATACTCACTCTACTCCTTCTCTCCCAGATGCCAGGTACTGTGTCCTTTGTCTCTCAACCTGAGGCCCCTCATCTCTGTCTCTTCGTCTCACTTACCCTCCTTTACATACCCCTTAACCTCGAGTGACATCAAATGGCCCTGACCTAAAATCAACAGTGGCATCCCGACAACAAAAAAACTGAAAACAAAACACGCAGCTCCGCGGCCGATCTCTCATGAAGCGCCTCAGTGTGTGTGCTTAACCAAGTGTGAGCTCTTCTTGAAAGAGAGAGGAATGAGGGAGGCAGAGCATCTTGCCTCTCTCCCTGTGGTACACTCTCACAATGGTCCTCACTTACCCCCTCATCCCCTCCAAACTGGGTCATGGCTGGGGGTGGGGATGGGTGTGTGTGTGTGTGTGTGTGTGTGTGTGTGTGTGTGTGTGTTTTTTTATGTGTGGTGATGATGAGGATAAGGAGGTGGTGGTGGGTTATAATACCCCCTGGGAGGGGTGAAGGGAGGGTGAAGTCTGGGATCGACAGACAGTGATAGGATGGGAGGAGAAGTACATGGCTTTTGGAAGTAAATGAGTCTCAACCTGCTGACTCTCTGAGACCTAGGGCCACCAGCGAGGAACAGGACAGGACGGGGCTCTCAGGAAAGGGTAAGGGTAGCAATTAAAAATCTGGCCTTTGTGTTTTATAACCCTGTTATGATGCATCTGGGAGGGATGAATTGTGAATGGATGAAGTGCTGCGTGTGGCCTTTTGAGACCAGGAGATCCTAATGAAATAACTTTAATACTTATTCACCTTAGTGAGATGTTTTGTGATTGGTTGGCTAAAAGGAAAAAGGAAAAACAACGATGCACGTTCAGTTGAAATAAACAAGTGTGTACAATAAGCTTTTAGTGGAAACAAACTAATAAGAGATAGAGAGTAGTATGTATGAGAAGTTATATCCGAGCAAACAGAGGTGGAGCTTTTTAACATATTTATTCTTTGAAAAAGTCTGTGGATGTCAGTGTGTCGGTCAGCCTACCCACCACTTTGGTACAGACTGACATTTCTTCAATAATTCTTGGATGGATTGCTCTGAAATTCTCTACAGATGTTCATAATCCCCAGAGGATGTACTGCAAAGACTTTGGTGATCCCCTCACTTTTCCTCTAATGCCACCATTAAGTTTATCTTGCTGTTTTTTAGTAAGCTGCCTCAAGTATTGGATGGATTGCCTTAAAATTTGCTACAGATATTCATATTTCCCTCAGGATAAACTGAAATACCTTTGGTGATTCCCTGACCTTCTACATCCAACATCGGGCCAGAATTTTAATTTGTCCAATAATTTGCTTTATGAACAGAACAAGTACCTGCAAAACTGACATCCAATCTTCCTCAGATGTATTGTAACATATGACAATAACAAAAAGTCCTGCAAGCAAAATTCATTCCTTTACTCACCAAGAGCTGTCTCCACAGGTGGAAAAATAACAGCAATGTTAACTCTTATCACTGAAGTTAGCATGCTAACCAGCTAGCCCGGCCCGTTTTGTTTCTTGCCAATACCGAGTGATTGTAGTGTCCAGGGACGCTGCTAATAGAACGTATTATAAACTCTTGTAATGTAAAGCAACGATGGCTGAAGCTCTTGGCAAGGCTGGTAAGCAAACATCTGTTAATGCTAACGTTGGCTATTTAGCAATAGCAAAACTTAAAGATGGCTCCTTTGATCAGGATCAGGATAAGTTACACTATGTGTTTATGTGTAAAGAATTAGAATTGGCTTATACGCTGATTGGTATTTTAATATTTGCATCAAAACTCCAGTATTATTTGTACTATATTTACAGTATCATTTGGACAACTGAGAGCCAAAAAAACTCCAACATGTCAAAGTATAACAAATAATTGATGCCCAACATGCTGCCTGTTATGAATGCCAGTAGATTTGGGGCCCTGAGAGAAGTCCAATAAGCTGCCAACACCGACAAAACTACCAAGACTAGTTTGAGCAGAGAGTTGTTAGAAAAGTCATGAGAGGACACTTTGAACTCTGAGATAAAAGTTGGAAAATATCCACATAATCAGCTAACCCTGGCCAGTCTAGCACTAAATGTTTTATGTCAACCATATACTGTAGTTTCTGCTTGCAGAAATGTGGGGGCATGGTTATTATCCTCCCCATCATTTTCAGCCCGCATGCCCTCCGCACTCCATCACTCCGCTGCCTCCCTCATGCCCTCTCATGGAGCCGTAATCACACGACGCCACGAACAATAAAAGATGTTCGTTTGATATTGTCCAAATCCACTCACCAGCGGTGGTTGCTCAAATTAGGACTGCACGCTATCTCAGTCTCTTTCCTTATCTCTCTCTCTGGAGCGGACCAGTTGCTATCACCAAATTTCACAGATCATGTGCTGAGTATAAATCCTCTTTAAATTCATATCGTGTCGCTCAAAGTCAAAGTCACAGTCACAGTTTCTGTTAAATGTTTTTCTTAAATGCACAGCTATTTTTTTTTCGTCTAAGTAGAATGTATTTTTTCATCTTAGTAAAAACCTTGAATAATTTGACATCTTCATCTCCTTTTGATGAGAGTCCTCATGCTGATGTTGACAACAGTGAAGATAATGATTATTTAAAACCATCGCAGAAGAAAAAACACACACACACTCACACACACACACACACACACACACACACACACACACACACACACACACACACACAGCTGTAATATGAGCACTAAGGAGGAAGGATGGCAGTTATTCTCAGTCAATCAGACCAGGGGCCTGTTCCTCTGTGACAGTTTGACGGCAGATTAAAAAATCCCCAAATTATGGCCAAACTCTAACTTGTGAGAAACACACACTAAATCACTTTGAAGTAACTTTTTTAAAATCTGTGTGTGTGTGTTTGTTTGAGCCATAGTCAAGGCCATCTCTGCAGACTCAGCCACCACAGGGGCAGTGTTGATTTACTACTTTTAGTTTCTGCTGACATCAAGAGAAACAACCTACTGTCACTACCTGTTGTAGACATAATGGGGTGTAGCTCAGTGGCAGAGCGTTTGACTGCAGCTCAAGAGGTCCCCAGTTCAGGTCTGCGCGCTTCCTTTGGACAAGTCCTTGAAATAGAAACCAGCTCTCTACATATGGATTCTAAGCAGGGTTTGACTTTGTGTGTGTTCACTCTGGAAAAGTCATGAAAAGAAAACTAATTTGAACCAGACATTATGCATACTAAATGCAATCGATTTTTAAGTGTGCTGTTAATGGATACTATTAACCACAATGCAATTCACAAAGCAAATTGAGAGGATAGGAAATAAAAAGAAATTGGTGGTGGGGAAAAAGCTTCATAAAGATCTTGGAAAACCGAATGAATGAATATTTGATCTTAATTATTTTTTATATCATTTTGCTTTCTGTTGCACATGTAGTCCAGCTTCCTCTTAGTATAAAGCAGTTCAGTAAGCTGACTTCTTTGAATGTCAACAACTAAAATAGTACAATATGACAATATGTATGTAGTATATACTGTATGGAATTAGTATGTATCTTAGATTTGGTCTATTTATGTCTATTACAAGAGAATGACGACCAAGCAAAATCTGCAGTTCAGCAGTGCTATTGTTCAGCAGTGTCAGTATCATGCAATCATAGATTGATTACTGAATGGGCACACTGGGCAGGGGCCCAAAGGGTCAGGAGCCCCCTGGCTCAGAACATCTGAATGAGTATGAAGATTTCTTGTTGGAAAGTCAATCGCATGATCACAAAGACGCAAAACGACCACAGATGACATCACTGAGTCATTTTGTGTGTCTGAGAGGATGAACGTGTTGTTTTCAGTCTGGGTGTCTTTCTCCTATGCAGGAGGGGTGGGGGCCCCATTACATGTCTGCGCCCAGCGGTCCATTGTCTCATAATCCGTCCATGCATACGATATAGCATAAACTTGAGTGTTTCACTTCTTACCTTTTATGATTAGCTTTTAAGACCACTACTTTATGTGACCAGTATTTCTGTAGCTCCTCTTGCTGTCATAACTAACTCTTCAGAGAGCAGTGCAGAGAGCGGTGTCAACTTATAATCATGATCCTTTCTCTCTTCAGTCTGGCATTAGAACAATTCATATCAGCTGTCTGTAAACTGTGGATGGTGTACACACGGGATGATCTGCTGGCTTCCTTATAGACATGACAGGCTTGACAGAGACCAGAGGTAATAATGCAGCACCAGTCCGTTGAGTCTGACTGGCAGTATAATCTGAACTGTGCATCTTTCATCAAGCACATCTAAGACTGATTCGGATCTAATTCATTACCGGAAAGAAATGACGAAGTATGAAAGACAAACTATAGCATGGTGGCCACTGAAATGTTTCCGGATTATAGGAATAAATAGGCAAAGTGGAGTGGTATTTATTTGGATACAGATCAAGGGCTGTATCATGTGATTTTGGCACAGAACTAACTGTTACCTATTATCAGTCTATCATCCACCCCGGGGATAATATCCTATGAACAAAACACCTTCTCTGGCTACAACTTTTTCAGCCTTTAATGTGCAAATCTGGGCCTCAGTCCATGTTGCACGTCATTATAGACACCAGGACTGTATAAAACAGTATTAAAGAGATACATAATGTGCATTAAAATGTGTGTCATTATATAGATTACATACAGAATGCATATAAATATATACAAATATAGTGACGCATTGCATGGGGGTTTGATGCCTTGTGGACTGTGTCATATCATGCTACAAAGAAACCTTATATTTCCCATACTGCTCCACAGCAACAGCTTCACTGATGGCATACAAACCAACTTATCAAAACTGTAAATCTTCTGTGTACAAAAATTTATATTCTGAGTACATTTAAGCAGCCCTCAAAAACCTTGTATGTATCAGCATGTCATAAATTAGACTGCTCATAGATGGATTGAGGAGACTGGGGTTGCTTAACTCCCATAATCCTTCAGCCTGCCTGCATAAGCCAAGCTAATTTGGCTCATTTGGGCAGTTTATCATCCATGTAAACATCAAAGCAGTTTAAGAAGAGGCCTGAGTGACAGATTTGTCAGTTGTATTCTTGTCATTTCTTTCACAATATGGTTCCACTCAGGCCATTTACAGAAATCTCTGTATTTCAGAGCTGCAGACTGACGAGTGGCTATTGATGTGCATTAAGCCTGAGTCGACTCTGTCATCAGAAAAACTGGGACTTAAAGTAAAACTTCCTGGGAAAAAGCAAGATGACAACATGGTGTATATTCTGGTGGTCAGCTTGGGAAGTTTAATTT